ATATATATATATATATATATATATATTGTATATATACATACATAATAAATAATAGAAGAATAAAAATAACATCCAAGTTAATAATAACAAAAAATTCACAATTTTATGTAAGTGAGACATATATTTACATCATAATCACAATAGACAAAACAATGTATTTTTTTTATACTCTATAAATATATCTTACTAATCCAAACATCTCTATTGAAAAGATGCCGAATTTTCCAGCTGTTAGTTTAAGAGGAATCTTAGATCGATATACAATGAACATTAAGTCTTTTGCATCTTTCGATGGTAGGTTGTACCACTTGCATTCATAAATGCCGTACGCTATATTGGTACTCTGAAATTATATATTTTTTTACATGAATTAACATATATAAATTGTATTAAAAATACTGAATTAACGCATAAATTTTACCTCTGCCATAAGTTTTTCAGCTGAATAGCAATATGCATACAAATGCGTCATCATATAGGTGATATAAGACGAGAGAAAAATTATTCTGATCATAGGTATTTTTAAATGATCTGTTATCATCTGAAAATAATAAACATTTTAATAGTTGCAAGTGATAAAAATGCAGATCTAACACTGCAGATGAATAATACATTACGCTATATTAGGATAACTCCGGCAAATATGCCGCGCTGGGATTTACGCCATGGAAGTGTGAGAAAAAATAGAAGGGGTGGAGGTAGTTTTTCCGCTACTACTCTGTTACATGCCTTTATGTTATATTAGTATTGTGTTGTGATTTCAATTTCTTACTGTCAATATTAATGAACTATTTTGAGTTAAATCGATTTGTCACTATAATAAGTAGCGTCATCATAAATTATAATCTACATAAAATGATTACTGTAGGGCGCGTAAAAGAATTAGTGATTATTTCATGATACATATGTGTAGAGAAGTAGTAAAGCATGTTGTATAGCAAAATACAAGTACTTTGCTTTAGTTTGTTGTTTTGTATATCCCACCTGTTTGGGATATACGACATTTTTAGCGGGTGGGATTTATGCCCACAGCATACAAAGTGCGCAGATTGAATTCAGTGCAATAAACGCATTACATGAAATATATACCTCATGTCATAACATTTGTAATATACAATATGTAGGAAGATTGTAATTATTATTTACTTCATATACATATTTATTGTTCTTATTCTTTAATAAAACTTTATAAACGCATTTTATAAGTTATTGTCTTATTTATACGTCTTATTATTTGTAAATTTTTCATGAGTCGTACATAGCTCCCTCCCTATGAGTAGCATATATCCCATTCTTATGGGGTATACGGCAAAAATGCAAGAATTTCTAAAAGTTTATTTTTTAATACGAAAAATAAATATTTTGGATTTTTAATATTTTTTTTATAGTAATAGACACGAAGTTTTTACTGATATAGTTCGATTACTTTAAACATAGTAAATAATACTTAATAAATTAAGTCTGTGATAGGTGCGGCGTATATACCGGAGTTACCTATTTAATAAAACGATATCATTAGTAAATTTAATATTCATTTAATTTAAGCGTTTTATAAAATACTCGCGAAAAAACGTATATAAGTAATCTTACATACCGTGAAAATTTGAAAAGCTATAAAACACATTTGTAAAATGGCTAATAATATGTTCATAAATAATAATGAACTGTAGCAGCTGTCAATCGTCTTTGCATTCCTTGAAAATTGGTAGGAATATTATTAACTTGTTATACGTTAACAATTTATTACTTAGGAGATCTTAACAAATACAAGTCATAAAAAAGTTTTAAGTTCGAATTTTTATTTTTTTTTAATCTATCTAAATTTATATGATTCAATTTTATATTTTGTATTATGTTTGTACTTAAATATAATGAATCTAATTTTTTTTTTCTTAAAAATACAATATTTTAAAAGAAAAAAGAAGTAAGCGAATATTTTTGTACACGGAAAGACTATTTTTGCTAATGTATCTAAAAATTTAACTAGATATAGAGAGATATTTAAATATAATTTTGTTTAGACCATCAAAATAAGTAGGAATTAAGTATGGATTAAGTAGGAATTTCAAGCATGAGTAATGCTATAAAACATTTTACAACTGGTTTCAACGTTCTACGTAATCATTTAATTTTGATGGTCTGATAAAATTATTTTCAAATCTGTATCTATCTAAATTTTTAGATATTTTAGTACAACTACTTTTCCGGTGTGATTACATTATATATCTATATTTCTTTTTATAAAGGAAGGACATTCAAATTTATTTTTAAATTTGTCTTAAAAATAATTTGCTATCTAATTGTAGGAATATACAATTAAATAGCAAATAAGCTTATATAACTTCATACTATTAATGCACTAGAAATTTTCTAGTATACCTGATGAGATGTTCATGTCGTACAACAATCGCAGCTAAACCTTTCCTAAAACTCTCTTTTCTCGAGGAAGATATCGAATCGTTAGTTATTTCGTTCACTAGATTGTTCAATGTCGTCCGCAGATTCGTGAGCTGCGAGCATGTGTGCAGCACAAGTATTGAGACAAAACTGTCGATCGTGTAGATAGCGAGAAGTGAATACATACCGCCGAGAAACTGAATACAATATGTGATTTCGTAAGTCGGACTCTTTTGGATATTATCCATTCGATAGATGAGGGTCCGATAAGGTAGGTGTATAGTTTTAATGAATCTGATTATATAAAAACAAAATGACATTATAAGTAAGCCCGTTACGGTTGCACAACATCTAAAGGATATGTTTCTGCCATGTCTCGCGGATTTCAGCATGATATTTCGTTCCCAGTTAGTCGCAGTCATCCAATCAGTCATAATCGACACTATCAGCTGCTGAAGTTCTTCCAGTATAAACGTTAATATGAATACATATAAATGATTAAAACCAGCACATTTCTAGCACCATGTCCAAAATCACGTAAGAAATCTTAAATTTCTATCTTAAATATTTACTATATATAAATATATTATTTTTTAAAGACATAAATACATATATTTATCACTACTTGAAAGAATAAGTTAATCAAAACATAGTCGAAATCGCCCTTAGATATTAAATTGAAAATAACTGTTTTTTCAAAATTGTATTATAAACTGTCTTTTATGTTCGGATTTTGAACATGTATGCTATCTGAGTTTTTATATAAAAAATATTATCTAGACATTTTGTATTTAAATAAGGAGGACATACATAGTTTTGACATTTTATATCGCAAATAGTAAAATAAATCTATCTGGCATTTACATTGTCACGTAAAATAAACTTACTTTTGCCATGATACCAGGTAACGATCAATTTACACATTGCCATCAAGCTGGAATTTGTAGAGACAAAATATTCCACCATTCGAGTTAAGTTACCCCAAGCACGAATCACATTTATCATTTGCGGCACAAATATGTACAAACTTATATTACATATGACGATAATGAATCTTATGCTTGGCCAACGAAAGTCACTTAAAGACATATGTGGATCGGGCCATACGCCAAATAACCATAGAAATTGGCGAATTGTAGTAAACATATAATTCAAATCTACAAAATAAAATTTTTTTAAAAGTCGCTTAAATTAGACTTATTATATTAATCAATACTAGAAAAATGTCTATTACGGTCGAAGCTGGATCTTCATTGCTTTAAATAATTCAATCTTGAAAATAAAAAATAAGTTACTTCTACGTTCACTAATAACTACATTTACTAGATAATTACTTCTAACAAATAAGGAAAAAGAGATGGATTAAAGTAATAAATTAATATATAAATTAATATAATAAAGATTCTTAATATTGTTTATTATATTAATTTATATATTTATTTATTACTTTAATCTCTAATACTTTTTCCTCATTTGTTAGAAGTAATTATCTAATAAATGTAGTTATTAGTAAACGTAAAAGTAACTTACTTTTTATTTTTAATTGTATTGTATTGTAGTACTTAAAAGATTTCACTTCACTTACATCTTATTCAATTTGTTAATATAAATTATTATGTAGAACAGAACTAACACTTCTCTAGGTTCGTGTACGTAGCGTAAAATGAGAATTAAAGTGATAAATAATGAATAAAGTGAATAAATATGTATGATTTTACTAAAACAAAACTAAAAATGTTTTATCATAATATTTCTATTTAATATCACTATTTTTGTATATAATTATGTTTTGTTCAAGTTTCAAATCTCTCTTCAAGATTTCTTCTTTTTAAAATCGTCACAAAAATTGCTGTAATTATCCTTCAATATTCAAGTTGTTAAAACTTTGGAGAATTCTCTCTAGTACAAACTCTTTCACTGGAAACATAGAAAAGCGATTTGCACAACTGACCGTTTGTTTCATGTAATTTGGTTTTACCCAACTTTGCCACTCAAAAACACTGTAAATTTGTATGCAAACTTTTCCCCGAAATGAAACATTTTTTGCTAGTGTGCAAAGTTTTATTTCCATTCTCGCAAACTTTCGTGGACCATCAAACCTTTTTAACCTCCTATAAGAGATCTATAGACTCTTCACAAAAAATTATGATGCTTTTTTTGCTACAATTTTTGTAACAAATTGAAGTGATCTTTTTCTTTGATTTAATAAACAAATCTTGATTTTGAAGATATTATATATTTGTCATGCGACCTTACTTCTTTACTCGATAAATACATAAAATAAGTAACATATTAAATGATGAATAGAATATAATTATTTAAATGTTTTTTTTATATGAATAAAATAAAAAAAAGTAAATTAAATTAAGATAATGCGACATGACTAAAGAAAATATTAAAAATTAAGCATAATTATCAATAATTATGTTTATATAATTATATTTTTGAAAGAACATCGCGGTGCACACATTTTTACTATTTTGTGTTGAAATATATTCTACCTTTGTTGGTATTCATTGATGTTCACAGCGCAAAAATTATCGTTTGACTGAATCGCTCTCTGCGATTATACTAAACCGCCGTGATTTTGCGCTTGCTCAGTATATAAAGATTCAGCCGTTTGTCTGCGTGAGTACTTGTATATACTCTTTTTAGAACGATCAATAATAACATGAACAACATATAATCATCATATTTTTCATTACAGAATCGATTACATACATTGCTTTTTTAAATACAGCGTATGTAAAAGATTCAGTTGTAACACTAGAAAATAATATAAATAAATAATTTATTTTTTATTGCTTAAAGGATATATTTGTCCAACAAAGATTATATTATTAGATTAGATACCTAATATGCGTATATGTTGTATATACATAAATTTAAAAATTAAAACATTTAATATATATATGTACAATATACATACATATATATGTACACACACACGCGCGCGCGCGCGCGCACACAATATCCATATATATATTTCTAAAAAAGTTCTCTATCATTTTGCAACTTTTGCAATTTTTTTTTAGTTATCCAATAGGCAGAATGTCTAAACTTGACGCATAAGACAACTAAGATATATCTTTAAGAGTTCTTTAAGAAATAAAAAAAAAAGATATCTTAGAGTTATCTTATACGTCGAGTTACTCGTTTATTTGGCAATCTTTAGAAATTAATATCTCGTTAACTATTACGAAAATTGCAAAATTGTAGAAGACTTATCGACCAAGTTTAGTTCAGTCTCCCTGCCGAGAAGATAACAAACAGTTTGAGGCATATGTATTCAATTTTTCTTTTATATAAACTTTGCAAGACAAGATAAATTATTTCACTTACCGTGTAAATTTGAAAGCTTTCAAATCACAGCTAATAAGCGGCTAACATATAACACCGCATTTTATAAATAACACTTAGTTGTAGTAGCTGTCGACTGTTTTTATATATCTTGAAAATTTATTTTTGTACATTTCTTATACTTATTTTTTATTTATTATAATAATTTTAATGTTTAAAATCTTAAAAAAAGGTTTAATATAGAGAATTTTTGAAGTAAGCTAATATATCTGATATTCTTATTTTTTATAATTTTTCAATATTTGCGTTGCTTTAGGCTATATAATTTTAATTTGAAACTTTCTATTTTTTTTATATTCTCCGGGATATTTTTGACCCATTATGTTTGAAATAAGATATCTTACACACACACACACACACACACACACACACGCGCGCGCGC